ACAACTTTGATCAATACGTTTCCCATTTGGTTTTTCTTCTAGTTTCTTTTTATGAACCTCTTTGTAGAAATAATGTTTCAGAGAATAGACGTGTGCTAATCACTCCTAAGTTTTGCAATCCATGTAGCGAAGACATTGTTATATATATACATTGTGTGTATTTTTGGGAGGTGTGTGCAAAACATCTCGGATTCAAAACGGATTGTTCTGGCTACTCTAAGCTTGGAAGGTAGGTGCAACCTTCACAGCAACCTATATAAATACAGGTAGCCCTCAATTTACGACCACAATTGTGCCCAGAATTTCTGTTGCTAAGCCATTTTACGGCTTTTCTTCCCACAGTTGTTAAGTGAATCACTGCAGTTGGTAAATTAGTAGTACATTTGTTAAGTGAGTCAGGCTTTCCCATTGACCTTGCTTGGCAGAAAGTCATATCATATAACCCCTGGATGCAACCGTCATAATTAGTCAGTTGCCAAGCATCTGAATTTTGATCACGTGACTGGGGATGCTGCAACGGTTGTGAGTGTGAAAAACAACCATAAGTCACTTTTTTTCAATGCCATGGTAACTTCGAACTGTCCCAAAGTGGACTGTTGTAAGTCGAGGACTACCTGTAACATAAAAATGATGCTGATTTGTGCAGTTTTTGGAGAAGGTGCTATGTTTAGTAGGAACATTATTGGAAGGAATGAAAAGAAGACAAAAACGTGTCTTAAAGGTAATGGAATAAGGCAGGGGTCAGCAACCTGCGGCTCCGGAGCTGCGTGTGGCTCTTTCATCCCTCTGCTGTGGCTCCGTCACTCAAAATATGTGTCACAACCGCCAATGTGTGACACCCGCCAGCACATGATTTATTGAGCTTTTCAACCTCCGGTAGGCCAACCATAGGATAAATCCAAGAAAACTTTCAGAAGAAAACAGAACGTTTAATTCAACTAAATACTGTATGCTAGTTTTGTGGCCGCTCAAGAAATAGTCAGGCACGGGAAGGGTTTTGTGGCTCCCGGTGTTTTCTTTTCTATGGGAAATGGATCCAAATGGCTGTTTGAGTGTTTAAGGTTGCAGACCCCTGGAATAAGGGGAGCATGTGAAGGAATTTGATCGGCATTTGTTGGACAAAACCATTCAGATTTGTTTTCAGATGGATCCCAGCTCGTGGCACGTCTGGTGGAGATAACCTAAGGAGGAGTCTTGCCCCGATACCTGAGAACAATTTGAACCTGTTGGGCCTGAGGAAATGGACAGAGGCCTTACTACCATGAGCTCAGCCACCTGCTGTATTCCTAGATTAATGCAATGATCTTAAGCAGTTCAATAAAGTTTGGTGGTGTTTTTTCCCACAGGAAAAATAAACTCTCTAAATTATTACTATTTCATAATGGCGGAGATTTTAACTTTTGTGACCTTCAAGGTTAGCATTTGGAGAAAAAAAAAAACAACCTTTGCAGTGGAATGCAAGCTATCAGGTTTTTGGTTAACAAACTGTGGCCACGATTAGAAAGTCACCAGTTGATTAGATTGGCATCGTATCGGTGGCTTGGCTCCATTTCAGCCATTGCATTGTATTTTCTGTACTAGGGCCTGTCGGGGACATTTAGATGGCATTAGGACAGAAGAATACCTTCGATGTTTATTCACTTGTCATGCTTGCATTCTAGGTTCATCCCGATTAGAAAACCGCAGGTAATATTTTTGTGTCAAACCTTTGATTGACTCCATCACTTTGATTGTGCTGTCAAGTGGTTGCCAATTCCTAGGAATTACATTGATACACACACACACACACACACACACACACACACACAATCCTCTAGCCCCAATCTGGTCTTTCAATGGTGCACCAGAGGGCAGGACAAGAAACAATGGATAGAAATTAATCAAGGAGAGAAGCAACCTGGAATTAAGGAGAAACTTCATAACAGCGAGGACAATTAACCAATGGAACAACTTGCCTTCAGACATTGTGGGTGTTTCATCACTGGAGGTTTTTAAAAAGAGACTGGGCATTTGACTGAAATAATATAGGATCTCCTGCTTGACGGGGCTGGACTAGAAGACCTCCAAGGTCCCTTCCAGCTCTATTCTGATTCTAACCTTCCAATGGTACACCTATCGCCACTATGCTTGCTTGCTGCCTGCAATTGCTAGTGGCCTGTTTTTTGCTGGCAAACAAAACAACAGAAGCCTATTTGCTTATTTTTTTTTATTTTGCCACAATGCTTAGGTATGAATGCACAAGTAGTCCTCGACTTACGATCATAACTGAACCCAAAATTTCAGTTGTTAAGCGTGAGAGTTGTTACCTGAATTTTACTCCATTTTATGACTTTATGACCTTTCTTGCCAGTTTTTAAGCGGATTATTGCAGTTGTTAACTTAGTAACACGGTTATTAAGTGGATCTGGCTTCCGTGTTGACTTTGCTTGTCAGAAGGTCACAAAATGTGATCACATGACTCAGGGACACTGCAGCCGGCATAAATATGAGTCAGTTTGCAAGTGGCTGAATTCTGATCATGGGACCATGGAGATGATGCAATGGTTGTAAGTGAAAACATATAAGTCACTTTTTCAGTGCCATTGTAACTTTGAACAGACATTAAACCAATTGTTGTAAATTGAGGATTACCTGTCATCTCAAAATCAAGGTATGTCAGGGGGTCCTGATGTTCTCTCGGTTTACTTGTTTTCTTGCAGACCTTACCCAAACTAGGTAACATCTAGGACTAGCACTGATGATGTTACCTAGTTGGGTAATGAAACGTCTGCAGGAAAAAAAAAAAAAGAGAGAGCACCAAGAACCCCTCAAATCAACCCTGACCTACAAATATTCTTTTATTAGCAAGGTATGTCAATTGGTGAAGTGAGGGCCCACCTCTTTCCACCCCACTTTCTGGGAACAGATCATCATTTTAAATCCTCCAGTGGTCCAGCAGGACACCATCCGAGCCCACAATCAGCTCACTTTTAGGACGATGTTGGGGTTCAATCACATACTGGATTGCAAATCCAGCTGGTGCACAGTAGAACCAGGAATCCCGAAGGTGCTTTTTTTCAAAAGGCAACTGGACTGTTTTTGCTTTGAAGCCGTTTCGCTTCTCATCCAAGAAGCTGCTTCACTTTTTCAGAATTCTCCAGAGAACCAGAGAAGCTTCTGGGATGAGAAGCGAAATGTCTTCAAGCAAAAAAAAACCTCAAAGTCCAGTTGCCCTTTTAAAAAAAAAAAAAAACACCTTTGGGACACAAACTGTGACCTGGATGAATGAGAATCTCCTTAGAGCCTGGGAAGATCATCCTCTGAGTGGCTGAGAATCCACATGAAATTGTGAATTGTGGATTGGGAGAAAAAAAAACCCTGCGCCACGTCTAATTTCCTGCAGCGTCTGAGAATCAAGATCAAGGGAGGTACTAATACCACTCTATAAAGCCTAAGTAAGACCACACCTAGAATACTGCACCCAGTTTTGGTCACCACACTATAAAAAAAGATGTTGAGACTCTAGAAAAAGTGCAGAGGAGAGCAACCAGGATGATTAGGGGACTGGAGGCTAAAACATATGAAGAACAGTTGCAGGAACAGGGCATGGCTAGTCAAGTGAAGAGAAGGACCAGGGGAGACATGATAGTAGTCTTCCAATATTTGAGGGGCTGTCGCAGAGAGGAAGGGGTCAAGCTATTTTCCAAAGCACCTGAAAGCCAGACAAGGAACAATGGATGGAAACTGATCAAGGAGAGATTCAGCCTAGAAATAAGACATTTTCTGACAGAAGAGTCAACAGATGGAACAGAAGTTGCCTTCAGAAGTTGTGGGAGCTTCATCACTGGAAGCTTTCAAGAAGAGACTGGATTGCCATCTGTCAAAAATGGTATAAGGTCATCTGCTTTTTTTTTTTTATAATTTGATTTATATGCCGCCCTTCTCCGGAGACTCAGGGCGGCTTACAATGCTTTATTTATTTATTTATTTATTTATTTATTTATTTATTTATATGCCGCCTTTCTCCGGAGACTCAGGGCGGCTTACAATGCGCTCAGCAATAGCCTTCATCCTTTTGTATATTTATACAAAGTCAGCTTATTGCCCCCACAATCTGGGTCCTCAATTTACCTACCTTAGAAAGGATGGAAGGCTGAGTCAACTTTGAGCCTGGTGAGATTCGAACTTACAGTAATTGCAGACAGCTGGTGTTAATCACAATGCTATCAGTCTGCTGAGCCACCAGGCCCTTTATATGTCCTTAGATCATTACTCTACTAATTTGCTGCCCTCCTCCTCCTCCTCCTCTTCCTCCTCCTCCTCCTCCTCCTTCCCCTCCCTCTCCCCCAGTGTTTCAATATTTGAGGGGCTGGGGTGGGTGGTTTAAGCTACTTTTCCAAAGCACAAGGAATAATGGATGGAAACTGATCAATTCAACCTAGAAATAAGGGAGTCAATTTTCTAACAGAACAATCCATCCATGGACCAGAAGTTGCCTTCAGACCTGGTGGCAAATTCAATCCCTGGAAGCTTTTAATTTATTTATTGTTTAATTTATTTATTTATTGCTTCGATTTATATGCCGCCCTTCTCCGGAGACTCAGGGCGGCTTACAATGTGCTAAGCAATAGCACATTGTAATACAAAGTCAGCGTATTGCCCCCACAATCCGGGTCCTCATTTTACCTACCTCGGAAGGATGGAAGGCTGAGTCAACCTTCAGCCTGGTGAGATTTGAACTCACAGTAATTGCAGGCAGCTGGCAGCTAAGTGCTACTTTAACAGCACTTTAGTCCGCTGCACCACCAAGGCTCTTCTTTTTAAGAAGAGGCCGGACTGCCAATCTGTCAGAAACGGTATAAAGCCGGTCTCCTGCTTGGTTGGACTACTGGATGACCTCCAAGGTCCCTTCCAAACTCTGCGAAACTGTTAAATGCCCGCGCGCCTCCAGCTCTACGACGGAGCGGAGAAGGAACGGAGCGCGCAGCAGCCTCCCGCCGCTGAATGAATGGGCTGCCGCTGCTCTCGAACGACCCGCCCCTAACGGCGAAGGGGAGGCCCCCCCCTCCTCTAAACACACAAACACACACACACACTCATACACACACACACACACACACACACAGCGAGGAAGCGATGACGCCTCCAGTCCCAAGTTGCCCTTTTGGCTCTGGCGGCTGCCAAGCGAGTTTCTTCTTACGCTTTGCCGCAGGTCGATCCAAGCCGGCTGGGGAGATCCCCGGGTTGATCGTCTTCAAACAAACCCGAGTTTGACGTTTCTTTTAAACACCGGGAGCCCAGTTTACGAGACTTCCTGGAAGGGGGCCCGAGCAGGAAGAGGCAAAATTGACACGTGGACCGTTTTTCTCTCTCTCTCTCTCTCTCGGGTTTTTTTCCCCTTTCCAAACCGAGGACGGAGGGGCGAGGGTGATGCTTTCCTGAATTTTGTCTCCGGTGCGAACCTGGGGATTAGGCGTCGTGGAGAGGACGGACCCCCCCCCCCACTCTCCTCTCCTTTCCCCAAATCAACCGACACCCATCCACCTCCTCCGCCTCCGGTTGCTGCTTTTCAACCCTCACCAACTTTGGTCCAACTTTGGAAGCCCCATCTCTTGTCTGGGAAGAAGAAGAGGAGCTGGTGAAGACTTCAGTGGGGCAAGTTAGAAAACTTTTTCTCCTCCTGTCTGCTTTGGAAGGATCTGCCTTCTCAACTTTCTCTCCCCCTGCCCCCCCCCCCCCCCGCCTCCCCCAGTTCCTGGTAGATGGGAGTTTCTGACTCTCTTTTTTTTTTCCCCACTTGGTGCTTTGTTCATTTGTGGATTTCCACACACACACAGAGACACACACCCCTTGGTAACTAAGCCGTTGGATGGCCTTGAGCATCGGCAACAATGGAGTGCAGGATTTGGGGGCCAACCTGCTGGCCTCCCAACATCACAAGGAGCGTCATCAGCTGCCAGCCGCCAGATGCCCCCAGCAGGAAGCCCTGAAAAAAGATGGAGAAATGGGGAATGTCTTTTGGTCCAGGTGAGAATCGGCGTGGTCCACTTTAGCTTTGGGCAGGTTTTTGGTGCCCCCAGACACTGGTGGCTGTCTGCCTGTCCATTCCGACAACGGAGAACCTTGGTTGGGTTTGAAAGGCTGGTTGAAAAGCGACGCAAATGGTTTGTAAGTCGAGGACTGCCTGTGTAAGAGCGTTCGTCCTAGCTGAGCTGATCTAGAAAATGTAAGCAGGGTTGATTAATTTTAAGGACAGATAGTCCTTAAAATACAATAACAGAGTTGGGAGGGACCTTGGAGGTCTTCTAGTCCAACCCCCTGCTTAGGCAGGAAACCCTACACCACTTCAGACAAATGGTTATCCAACGTCTTCTTAAAAACTTCCAGTGTTAGAAAATTCACAACTTCTGCAGGCAAGTTGCTCCATTGATTAATTGTTCTAACTGGCAGGAAATTTCTCCTTAGTTCTAAGTTGCTTCTCTCCTTGATTAGTTTCCACCCATTGCTTCTTGTCTGCCTTCAGGTGCTTTGGAGAATAGCTTGACTCCTTCTTCTTTGTGGCAGCCCCTGAGATATTGGAAGACTGCTATTATGTCTCCCCTATCCTTCTTTTCATTAAACGAGACATAACCAGTTCCTGCAACCGTTCTTCATATGTTTTAGCCTCCAGTCCCCATATTGTCTTTGTTGCTCTTCTCTGCACTCTTTCTAGAGTCTCCACATCTTTTTCACATCGTGGCGATCAAAACTGAATGCAGTATTCCAAGTGTGGCCTTACCAAGGCATTATAAAGTGGTATTAACACTTACAACAATTCATTTAGTGACTGTTCAAAGTTACAATGGCACTGGCCAATGTGACATGACCACTTTTCACAATTACGACCTTCGTTGCATCCCTTTGATCATGTGGACAAAATTCAGACGCTTGGGAACTGGTTCATATTTATGACGGTTGCAGTCCTGTGTGTGTGTGTGATGTGATCCCCTTTTGCGACTCTCTGACAAGCAAAGTCAATAGGGAAGCCAGATTCACTTAACAACCGGGTGACTAAATTACCCACTGCAGTGATTCACTTAACGGCTGGGGGTAAGAAAGATCATAAAATGGGGCAAAAAACTCACTTAACAAATGTGTCACCTTACAATAGAAATGTTGGGCTCAATTGTGGTCATAAGTCAAGGACTACCTGTAGTATGTACAGGACCTCCCAAGGACAGTAGACACCTGTAAGAATCCAAATAATATTCTGGAAAACACAATAACAAATAACTTACAGACAAGTAGTCCTCGACTTACAACCTTCATTTAATAACCGTTCAAAATTACAAGGGCACTGAAAAAAGTGATTTATGACCACTTCTCATACTTAGGACCATTGCAGCATCCCCACAGAAACATAACCCAAAGGCAGGGGTGAAATGCTCCCGGTTCAGACCGGATCGCCCGATCCGGTAGCGATGGCGGCAGGTTGTTCAGAGAACCAATAGCAAAGATCCCTGCGCGCCCCCACCATGCCCAGCTGAGCCGCACGATCATCAGAGGCTTTTTTTTTTAAAGCATTTTTTCTACAACCTCTTCCGATGAAAAAATGCTTTTAAAAGTAAAAAAAAAAAAAGCCTCTGATGATCGTGCGGCTCATCTGGGATCGTCAGAGGCTTTTCAAAGCATTTTCTTCTGCAACCTCTTGGCCGCAGAGGTGGTAAAAAAAATGCTTTGAAAAGTCTCTGACGATCCCAGCTGAGTTGCCTGATCGGCAGAGGCTTTTCAAAGCATTAGAAAAAATGCTTTGAAATGTTAAAAGAAAAAAGAAAAGGCCACGCCCACCCAGTCACATTACCCTCACCACCACCAAACCACGCCCACAGAACCTGTAGTAACAAATTTTACATTTCACCCCTGCCCAAAGGTGCTTTTTCCAAAAGGCAACTGGACTTTCCAAGAAGCTTCTTCAGTCCTCCTTCAGTACAGCTTCTTCTTCAGAACTGAGGAAGCTTTTTGGATGAGAAGTGAAAAGCCTTCAAGGAAAAAAAAAAAAAAAAACACCTTTGGGACAACCAGGAACTGGATGACTGAGAATCTCCATAGACACCCATAGTTAGTTGATCAAACTTTGAATGCTTGGCAATCTTTATGGCTTTACAATGGTTGCAGTGTGCTGGGCTCACATGATTGCCATTTGCAACCTTCCTGGGGAGCTTCTGACCAGCAACGAAGGAAACCAGATTATTTTACTGACCCCGTGATTGATTTAAGAGCTGTAGTGATTTGCTCAACAACCACGGCAGAAAGGTCGCAATATGGGGCACAGCTTAATCACTGCCTTGGAAATTTTGGCATGGCTGTGGTCGTAAATAGAGGACTAGCTACACCAGGGATGGCTAACCTTTTCCGGACCGAGTGCCCAAAGCGCTCCCCCCTGCATGCGCCCCGTTACCCCTGCACATGCGTACGCGCCACCCTGAATGGCCCTGCCCCCTGCATGCGCGCGTGGCACCTCCACATGTGTCCCGCCCCCGCGCATGTGCGGCAGAGACCTGAAGACCAGCTGGCCGGTAGGAGGCATGAATGCATGCGCGGCAGAGCTGAGCTGGGGCGATGGCTTGTGTGCCCAAAGAGAGGGCTCTGTGTGACACCTTTGGCGCACGTGCCATCCGTTCGCCATGATGGACCCACACCATTGCCCAGAAAGCAATTTAAACATACCGTATTTTTCAGACTATAAAATGCACCGGTGTAAGATTTTGAAGAAGTAAGCAAGAAAAAAAAAAGTTTTCGCCCTCCCCAGCCCCCCAGGAGCACTCTGTGGGCCTCCCAAAGCCTCAGCACGCCGCGTTAATGTGAAAACGGGCCCGTTTTTTACAATAACGGGACATGCGGGGCGGGGCTTTAGGAGGCCAAAAATGGCTATATTCAGTGTATAAAATGCACCAACATTTCCACCCTCTTTTATTGGAGGGAAAAAGTGCGTCTTATACTCTGTAAAGTACCGTATCTCTAAAGACTTCAAAAATTCCCCTTTCCTCCTAGCAGAACACTAACTTCATTCATACGTTTGGGAAATCACTGCTGAGTATTGTCGCTTCTGTAAATATATGTTAAAAAAAAAAAAAGGCACACCTAATACAACCCCATGTCAGCATTCCGAGTAACGCAACCAAAGAAATCAGAATTCCAAAGAATTCTGAACGTTTCTCAGAGAACATGTTTATTGGACACATCATATCGGCACAGCCAGTGGAAACCAACTCCAAAAGTTTCCCGCGGTTGCCATATAATTAAAAGAACAAAAGTTTCCCTCCCCAGGTCAGGTGTCACAGATCCCATCGTCCAATTAAAGCAGTTGGAGAGCTCTCTCGATCACTTCTGCTCCTCCTCCTACTGCCACCTGTTGGCATGACCTTGGTTCCCATGGGAGAGCTCTTTGTTTTGTCTATGAGATGGTCTAGCTATTTCCTCCTCATCCTCCCCCGCCATAGTATGTGGCAACTGTGAAGCAGCCAAAGATGGCTTCAGCCAGGTTCGATTCAGAGTTGACAACCTGCATGGGAAAAAATCAGAAGTGTAGCTAAATGTCTTTAGATCAGGGGTCCTCAATCCCCGGTCCGTGAACTGGCACCGAGCTACGGCATGCCAGAAACTGGGCCATGTAAACAAGCGAAGTCCCATCTCTGGTTGTTCTGATCTAAACTTCCCAAAAGCATGAAGCCGACTCCTCACCCCGATAAAACCCCTTTTATTTAGTTTAAAGGGAATTCCTCTCAAGCAAAGTCCCGGCTAACAATCTTTCCAGAGATTTCACAACTACAGACCTTTATCAGGCTTGGAGAGCTGTGAGGCTGATATCTTCCAAACGCAGACAATATTTGGCAAGAAGTCAGGAACAGATCGTCACTCTAATGAATTGAACTAATTGTCTCCTGCAAACTCCCCTCCCGTTCACTCCTCTTTAGTCCCTATGGGAGGGGCCATTCACCGTCTACCTGTGGCTTTACTCCTGAGTCGACCCTTGTTCCTTAGCTGTTCCCTTCTCCTGGCAGCTCTGCGCTTTCGCATATTGGGAACAGGATCCAGCTGTTCTTCTGCCTCACTGATATTTGACTCCGAAGGCAGGTGACAACTGTCAGGCGGCTCTGGCCCCATCTCTACCTCCGATGCAAAGCACTTGTCAGAGCCTTCCCCAGACTCCAGGACTGGCCCATGTTCCTCCCCAATCTCCTCACTGTCCGAATCTACTACCAGATCCGCTGGCCGCTGGCAGGCCACAAAAGTGGGATGCAGGCAGCATACGAAAACACGCCCCTTGCGATCCGTGGAAAAACCTCTTGATGGAACCGGTGCCTGGTGCCCAAAAGGTTTGGGGCCACTGGATTAGACTAGATCCAAATGGGTGACCTCCCCTTGGAGTCCTGACAAGTGACGTTATAGTGTTTCTCAGCCATGGCAACTTTAAGGTCAAGCTGGCCTGACCTAAGTCTTTCCCCTTTTTAAATGGAAATTTTAAATTTGGTTTTAAATTATTGGGGTTTTAAATTTGTTCAGCCAAATTATTTAATTCGTGTTAGTTTATTTTAAATTTTGTATCTATATGTTTTATTCTATGGCTGTTCACCGCCCTGAGTCCTTCTGGAGTAGGGTGGTATACAAATTCAATAAAATAAAATAAAATAAATAAAATAAATAAAGATGCGTGGACTTCAACTCCCAGAATTTCCCAGCCGGCTCTTCTGGGAGGCTGTTGGAACTTTGACTCCGAGTTGTAAGTACCTCTTTTGGGGTCTGCCATAACTTTGAAAGGTCACAAGTCAAGAACTACCTGTGTCCTAGTTTAGACCAAGAAGGATCTCGTGGTCAAATCGATATCAAGACTCCAAAAGTAGAAGAGATGAAAGCTAGGAATTTAGGACTGCCCACAAGCGACAAACCATTGCAAGATCGATTGGGAATCTGATGAGCTTACCGAACTAAGATACAAAAGAATAAACAATAATGCCCACTTATCATGGTACAATAAAATAATAAATACA